ACAATGAACCACGTCAAGTGTGATACAAGTAAGGTTTTATTAACTACATAAACACATAAACTGGCCCAACATACTACATAAACACATAAACTGGTCTAACATACACATACACACACACACACACACACACATACAGTTGGTATAGGAAAGGGTTAAAGCTTAACTCAGTACAGAAAAGAGACATAAGGAATGTTTGTTAAATCAAATGAAAAATGGTGTGTCTGATTGGTCCAGACGCTACACATTACATGTACACGTTCTTGCATTGTTTTGACCGTTCTCTGTAGATCCCGCCTTCTCGCACGCCACAATTGGTCGATTATCCACAATGCCTGCACGCTATTTGCCAAACTACTTTTCAGTCATTACCATCAGCAAGTATGAAAACAATAGGAAAACAAAGTCAAAATCTGGACATTTTTTGTCAATTTAGAAATCCAAAAGAAGACACAAAAGCAGTAATATTGTGAAATATTTTTACCATTTAAAATAACTGCTTTCTATTCAAATATATTTTAAGATGTAATTTATTCCTGTGATTTCAAAGCTGTATTTTCAGCATCATTACTGCAGTCTTCAGTGTCACATGATCTTCAGAAATCATTCTAATATGCTGATTTGTTGCTCAAGAAACATTTCTGATTATTATTATTAACAGCGGAGTAGAATTTTTTCAGGTTTTTGATGAATAGAAAGTTCAGGAGAACAGCATTTATCTGAAATAGAAATCTGTTGTAACATGATAAATGTCTTTATCATCACTTTTGATCAATGTAAAGCACCTTCGCAAAATAAAAGTATTAATTTCTAAACATTCCCAAATGTTTTTTTTAATGATACTGACTCCAATCTTTCGAATGGGTAGAGTGTATAATGTAACAAAAGCTTTTTATTTCAGATAAATGTTGTTCTTCTGAACTTTCTATTCATCAAAGAAACCTAAAAAAAAAAACTATACTCGGCTGTTTTCAACATAATAATAATCAGAAATGTTTCTTGAGCAGCAAATCAGCATATCAGAATGATTTCTGAAGATCATGTGACACTGAAGACTGGAGTAATGATGCTGAAAATTCAGCGCTGCATCACAGAAATACATTACATTTTACAATATATTAAAAAAGAAAGCAGTTATTTTAAATAGTAAAACTATTTCACAATATTACTGCTTTTGCTGTATTTCTGATCAAATAAATGCAGGCTTGCTGATGTTTAAAAAAGATTAAAAATCTTACTGTTTTAAAACTTGACTGGTCGTGTCCAATGAATATATAACAGCAGAATAAAATGCTCACTTGCAGATCTTATTGGCAGCGGGACTGGATGCCACGCCGTACAGGTTGAAGGACACGGGCGCCGTGGCTTTCAGAGGGTTTCGATGGAACCAGTGAGTCATGGTGATGAGAAGATACCTGAACGAGAATTAAGATGCTCATCAATTTCATTTTACTTTGATACTTTAATTTTAAGGACATTTTATTTTCTGTTGTACGATCACGACCAAACGTCCAGAGTGAAATCTAGATCCTGACCATCCGAGAACCACTGGTTATTCTTGAGAAACACAAAAACACGTCCAGTCGACCAAAACAACCCTCGACTAAGTCTAGAGATTAGGTGATTTCCACATAAAGGAGAGTCTTCACAGAAGTTATTTGAACTAGTTTCAATGCTTGTGACCAGTGTTGGGGAAAGTTACTTTTAAAAGTAATGCATTACAATACTGCGTTACTCCATAAAAAAGTAACTAATTACGGTACTTAGTTACTTTTTATGGAAAGTAATGCGTTACGTTACTTTTGCGTTACTTTTTAAATCTGGACAGGGCTTGCTTGTTTGTTTTTAAACTAAAAAAATTATATTTTTGGCAAATATAAAAGCTTTTCACACCAAAAGTGAAATGAATGCGCCTCAGGCTGAAGGAAAGTACAGTAGAATACAGAAGAAGACATTTCAACACACTTCAGGGATAAACAAAGACACACAAATGTTTGTCTAGAGTAATTTGTGCTGATTAGTACGGTTGAACTGGATCACCGAAGGTCAGAAGCAAATCGAATGGGATTAAATACATAATTAAATGTTAAACAACACAAATATCCTTTATTGCAGGTTTGCGTCATATTCTGAGGTGCATTATTTTTACTCATTTTGAGGAATACTGAATGTGTTTTTGTGAGTGAGATGAATTAATGCATATTCATATTTATTTTAGAGCTACAGTAACATGGCGACAGGAGAGCTGTCAGTCAATAAATTGGAAAAAAAGTAACTTATTTGACAAAGTAACTGCGTTACTTTACTAGTTACATGAAAAAAGTAATCTGATTACGTAACTTGTAATATATTACCCCCAACACTGCTTGTGACAGATATACAACAAGTCATAAGCAACTAAATGCCTGAGCACATTTCAGTATCTATTAATCCTACGCAGTGCATTTTCATATTAAGAAGAAATATTTAACACTTGAGAGATCAGATCATAAGATCAAACTAGTTTATCGCTTCAGTGTGAATGATCAGATTCGTTTGATTTTGAACATCTCGGCCTTGTTTACCCACAGATCTACAGGAATAAACACGGCACACTAGTTACAGACTGCCTGCTGTCGATGCTTTCTCGTCTACAGATGAAAACACTGCTCTGTGATCTTTCTGCTGTTCATAAAACGATTCAAACCTGAGAGAAATCAACCGAGTCAGAGACTCGCTATCCAACAGCTGTAAACACAGCACGCTCAAACCTCACAGCACACGCTTAACACTCGATTTCAACGAAACAGACTTGGTCTTCGTACCAGAGAAGCGTCGACTGGCAGATGTTTGTTGTTGTGATCTGCGAGAGTCCGGAGATGTAGACCAGCAGGACAGGCCAAAACAATGAACGCTCTTCCTGTATGACGCATTTCCGGCGGTGACGTCACGCCCATATTTTGGCGCGTGTTTTGGTGGCGCTTTATAACTGGGTGTGTTTATGCAAAAAAGAAGTTTATAATTTGAATGTGCGATAAAACAAGTTGTATATGTGAGTACAGACAGTCTAAAGGAAATGCATACACCTTTTTATTTTTTTAAGACGTACATAAGTCAGAATGACTAAACAAATAAAACAATATATAAATAAAAAAACCTGTTAAATCTAACAATTAACCAATATTCGCTTACGTTAGAGCTTGATGCCTCTAATATGGTAATATAGAGATGTACATTATGGTTATAGAGAACTTTTTTTTAATTAAATAGCTTTTCATTTTAATTTTATTTAGTTTAAATTTTGTTGTGTTTTGTCGTTGTTGTTATTATTTTTTTTAAATACGTCCGTATAGTTTTATGCTTTAGTTTATTTCGTTTTAGTAGTTTTACTTCCAACTAAATAATAATGAGAAACGTTGCCTAGGCAACTAGCTGAAATAAAATATTGCATTTCAGTTGATATATATTTAATTAGCTATTTATAAATAGTTTTAAAATGTTACATTACATTACAGGATTTATTTTGTGTAATAAAAGTTAAAATATATATTTTTAACTCATTTGTGTTTTATTAGTGTGATACAGTTAAGTATCATTGGATGTGAAATTAATCACACATTATTACTGACTAAGACAAGAACATGTTATTTATATAGCGCTTTATTAGTCACTAATTACACTATTTTCACAAAGGTCTCGTGAATTCTTATCCCTCACGTCTACTTTATTGTTGAGCGCATATTAGGACTTTTATTTTGTAAACGTCGCTAGGTGGACGCGGCTTCCGGCGCAGTCGCATGTAATTCGGTTGCACTCGCATCAGGCTTGTGTCGGTGTGCGGCGGTGCCACCGGAGCATCCGGAGCCCAGTGCGTTGCACAGCAATGCGGCGCTGGAGATAAAACTTCACCAGCGATGTCAGAGCACGGAGCTTTCGCCTGACTTCAACCCGAGAAGATGTCAGATGTCACCAAAACCGTCCAGAAATGGCACGCGAGTTTTAAAAAGGGCACGGACTTTGATTCGTGGGGGCAGCTGGTGGAAGCCATCGATGAGTATCACATGTAAGTCGCGTATGTTTGATCAAAATAAACACTTATTTTTGGCGATCTCTGGATCAGAGCTGGTTAAAAGTGAGGTGCACGTATTTTTTTTTCTGCAAACAATATAAATGGAACTTGCATGACAAGTGATGCATTGCAATTACACAACGTTGCGATTTAACGATAGATTGGTGTGTTCTTGCATCGTTCGAGTTGATGCATGAGATGCGCTGAGTACATAACTAGTGTCGGGTGTTTGTCAGCGTGTTTGCAGTATGTTGTTGTGCGCCGCACCCTCCAGCGCTGGGTGGAGTTTCTGTCTCGAGCTGAACTCATGCCATTTAGGTCGATGCTGACACAACACACTCACTGTTTCTGCTCTTCACACTCTACTTTTGCATTTTATTCACGGATTTAATGTGCATTCGTTCGTGGAGCACAGTGCCAACAACTGCAGGACTGTCATAAAGAAAGGACTTTTATTATGTATTCTCTTACAGTATATATTCCATCTCTTAGCTGGACTGCAAATGTGTCTATAAACAAAGTTATCATTCAAGTTGTTAGTTTGAAGTCTTGTGGTGTGATTTATCCCCCCCCCCCATATCATGATCTATGAATCACAGAAACATGTGGATAGAAATAAAATGAGTATTTCCATGTAGAAATTAAAAAGACATTCAGTCATTTGTAACCAATTATTGTGATGTTTCATCAGACTCGCGAGGCAGCTTCAGAAAGCAGTGCAGTCGTCAAACTCGCATGATTTCACAGAGGAGCAGAAGGCAAGTCTGTTTCCCAGAGATGACCGCTGTCAGTCATTAAAGGGGTCATATGATGCGATTTTTCCTTTCTCTTTGGAGTGTTACAAGCTCTTGGTGCATAAAGAAGATCAACACAGAGTAAGAAAATCATTTTAGAAAATCAGGTTTTAGTTCAGCAATAATAACCCAAGCTCTGTTACGGCAATATTAAATTTAAGATAAGTAAACGGTAGATGAACTTAGAAACTGATCCATTTTCTGTATCAATAAGCAAACAAATTCTCATTTGTGCCAGTTTTTACAGTTTTAATGAAAGTTTGACGTCTTTGACAGGTACGCTGTTGCCACGGTTACCCTCAGAGCCAGGAATGACTTTGCTCTCGTTGACGATAGAGAAGATCGGTCTGAAAGACGCAGGACAGTGCATCGACCCGTACATTACAGTCAGTGTTAAAGGTAGAACTCCGCAGCGCTCGTTATTGTCATATCAGATCTGTCCTGACATTTTTCTTACATTTCAATCTTTCCTTTTCACCCTCCAGATCTGAACGGTATAGACTTGAACCCGGTTCAGGACACGCCAGTGGCCGCGCGGAAGGAGGACACGTATATTCATTTCAGCGTGGATGTAGAAATCCAGAAACATCTAGAAAAACTACCAAAAGGTCTCACTTTGCTCTTAATGGAATATTTCACCCAAAAATGAAAATTTGCTCCATCTGAGATCTAGATGAGTTTGTTTCTTCATCAGATTTGGAGAAATGTAGCATTGCATCACTTGCTGTGAATGGGTGCCGTCAGAACAAGAGTCCAAACAGCTGATAAAAACATCACAATAATCCACAGCACTCCAGTCCATCAGTTAATGTCTTGAGAATTGAAAAGCTGCATGTTTTGTAAGAAACAAATCTATAATTAAGATGTTTTTAACCTCAAACTGGCTAAAATGCGAGTCCATAATCCACAATAAGTCTTCCTCCAGTGAAAAAGTGTTCTGGTGTGAATCAGGAGAGAAATCTGCACAGATCAAGCACATGTTTAAACAGCTCTAAACAAATATGTGGCTGGATTTTGATGTGAGAGACAACAGGAGATGCACTTTTTCACTGGAGGAAGTGTTATTATGGATTATGGACTCCATAATTTTATCCAATAGTATCAGTTTAAAGTTAAAACATCTTAATGATGGATTTGTCTTCTCCAGATGTTCACTGATGGACTGGAGTGGTGTGGATTACTGTGATGTTTTCATCAGCTGTTTGGACTCTCATTCTGACGGCACCCATTCACTGCAGAAGATCCATTGCTGAGACACTGATGCAATGCTGCATTTCTCCAAATCTGATGAAGAAACAAACTCATCTACATCTTGCATTAAGACTCAAGAGATGGTGTATGAAATATATTTCATCATATTTTTGTGGTTGATCATTATTGCGTTTGCCTCTTCTGTAGGTGCAGCTATTTTCTTCGAATTCAAACACTATAAACCCAAGAAAAGATTCACAAGCACTAAGTGTTTTGCTTTCATGGAAATGGATGAGATCAAACCAGGTCCCATTGTTATAGAACTGTGAGTACCAGAGTTATTCAGAGTTGGTTGCATTTACTACATTCATTAATTTTATCTATGGATTACATATTAATCTGATTTTAGGTACAAGAAACCGACCGACTTCAAGAGGAAAAAACTCAACCTCCTGACAAAGAAACCACTTTACCTGCACCTCAACCAGACTTTGCACAAAGACTAAACAAAGATCCGACAGCCGAACACTTGATGGACAGTAGAGTTATGTTTCTCAGATACGTTTGGTGCATCGCCTCTCACATTCCTTGCAATATCGGACACTTTTCTTCATATCTCCAGTCTGAAGTTTGGGACACAGCCTGATTTCCCACGGTGCTTCATCCGATAGAGAGAGAGACCTGAACAATTTCAAAAACTGAATTATGTACAAATGCTCCGTATGATGAGTTCTGATGGAAACCGATGGATATGACTTGGATATAACACAACTCCCCATTGGTTTTTAAAATATTTTTATCGCATTAAAGAAACCGCTCGCCCTCATCTTCCAAACCTGTATGCTGTTTATGTATTATTTGAAAGTTATGAAATTTAATTTGATAGTCTTTTAAGACAAAGCACCATTATTAAACATCATAAAAACGATGCATTTTATGTTCTACGTTTTCTTAAGCCATACAAAAGCTTTGCAGACTTAAAGCAGCACTATGTAACTTTTTCCTGTGTTCAAAATTTGCAAAATGTATGAGCGAGTACATCATGAATTCATCTTCCAAACCGCGTTTTTGTCTTATTCCGAATCACTACGGTACACTTATAATAAGTACTTATATTTGGACTATTGTAGCCTGGTCACCGCTGCGGAGTAACACACACCTGTGTGAATCACTATACACATACACTTCGAGAAGTAGATCCGGTTGGAATGTTCTTCCGCAGGATGTGTGTTACATAGTGCTGCTTCAACATTAAACCGTTATTCAGTGAAAACCCAATATTTTCTAACCAGTATGGTGCTCGGAATCTGAACACATTATAACTTCGGTTTGATTAGCATACAAATAATTCCAGCATACACATTTGGAATTATATGAGGGTGAGTAAATAATGACAGAAAATTAACTTTTGCATGAACTATTCCTTTATAAATGTTGTTTTAACAGAAAAGTCTATTGCTTGCTAATGCTACCTACATGGAGTACATGAAAACCCTGAACAGCACTAAATGTGTTGGTTTTTGAGATTTTCCACAGCAGTGTTGGGTACCTGCTCATCAGCTGGCTAATATTATTAATGTAGCATTTCAAGGCATTCATACGTTTCTTTGATATTATGGTGTTTGGCTCATTAAAATTATTCTATAATACTCTAGATCACAATGGCTTTGCAGTACTCTTTAATAGGTATTCCAGAAGTTTAATTAAATATGACTCAGAAAAGCCAGTAATATTCAGCTTTGTAATTAGCTCCAAACTTTATTCTATGATTAATAGTTCAGTCTGGTTAGTTTGAGGAAATGACTTACTTCTGGATTAGTTTCTCAAACAGTTTTAACCAAGTTTACTAAAGGATTTCTGACGTTTGACACTACTGCTTATTTCATTACAGTTTTTTTGTCACAGGAATTTTACATCTTAAAATGTAATTCAATAAGGAAAAAACGAATGGAGATGCTATCCCACATCGGGCTGTTTAATTGAATTGAATGTCATGTCAGCGTTGGGGTCTCGGAATCAACAATGGTTAAAAAGTATTGCATTTCTGTGAAGACTTTATACATCACGTTGTTTGATGGCGTGTATGATTACACAGCTTTTTCAAATGTCTCATTTCTAATAAATGACAATGCTGCTTGAATCATGAATGTTCTATAAATATACTTCAGTCTGAAATATATATATATGACAATGAGAACATGCAGGCAAATCTTGGCACGATTAATTGCTAAATGCATGGAATTACCTGGATTTATGGCAAGTGCATCACTGGTGCAGAGTGAAATCCCATGTGAGCCAGTTTGTTACACTGTAAAAAAAAAAATTTCAGTAAAATTTACGGTAAAAAAAAACAGTTGTGGTTGCCGGAATTTTACCGTAAAAAATACGGTAGCAACATTTTAGGTTTTACGGTTTTAACTTAAATTTAGTTAAAATACCATAATTTCATTAACTGATATAATTTTAATATACCAACCTTATTGAAGTACTGAAATCTGTTTTGTACCTTTGTAATACACTGATAACCACCAAATGCAGGAGGTGATGAGAAAGTCACGTGATGAACCAAAGCCCATCACAAGCAGCTTTTAGATAATAACATATATAGAAGGTGCACAGTCTCATTCACACAAACACCAAACACCATCACGGTAACACACATGAAACTGAAATAATGCAATAAACATTCATTTAACAACATTAGGTGTAACACACAACCATAATATACAAAACTGATAAGAAAATACTAAGAAGAAACATAGTTATTTCAACAAAAAAACCATCCTATTTGAAATGTAATGCAGGGAATTCTGGGAATGTCAATTTACGGTTATTCACTGTAAATTATACAGTCTATTTCACTTCCAAAAACGGTATACTACCGTAAAATTAATGTCCAATACAGTTTTTCACCTTATATAGTAGGGGAATTCACCGTTAACCATTTAACAGGTTTTTACTGTAGCATTTTTACAGTCTGTAACCGTTAAATTCACGGTCATTTTTTACAGTGTATATAAAGACGTTGAGACACAAGTTCCCTAAAAGTATGTAAACACAATAGTGCAAATAGATAATCGCATTAGATAAAACGTTTTCTTAGAACTAGCTGGTGTTTTAGTGGATGAATGAAGTCATCAGCATGATCCACTAACCACAAATATAAAACTCACATAATACTTCTTTTGCAATGCGACATCAATTATTTTAACATTTTAAACCATGCAAACTTTAAACTTTTTTAATTGCAAGTGCATCTTTCTTCAAATAAAGTTTGATAGTGTCTAATGCAAGCACATTCAGATATTTTTAAGCATGTCCTATTCTGGTAGGATCACTTTTTTTGTTGTTGTAAATGCTATAGTTAATGTTACTAAAACTTACTAGACAAAAACTTATTGACTTTTCTCACACAGGGTATCACAACTTGCCAAAAAAATTGATAATTGTTGTACCTTTTTACTCTTGTGGTGTTCCAGGTCAAAAATGACTCACCAAAAATAGCTTATAGATTTCTTGTTATGCTAGATCACCAAATACTGGATTTAATCTTTTTATCCACTCGTCTTCCTTTAATTAGCACCTTTTATATTTATTTTTGAAACGGACTGATCATAAGCCTCATTGATCTGAGCTCATGCACCTCAGTTTCTGAGTGAACTGCCAAAATGATCCACAAGTAATGCTTTTTTTCTATCAAAAACTGGGCATAAGCTCAGATCAACGAGGGCTTGTGCTATCGAAATAAAACAAGTTGACAAAAAGATGAAATCTAACATTTGCTGATAATATATAGCATAATAATGAGATTTGCATGCAATATTTAAAAGGCCGGTCATACTTGACCAGGAAAACCATTAGGAAAGGATTTTCAGCACAGCAAGTGTTAAGTGACTAAATACTCTTTGAGGGAAATGCTGGCATGATTAATTGCTTAATGCAAATGTCCTGTATTAATTAGTCCAGAGCAAAATCGCTGACTCCTCATGGGAGTTCTTGTTGAAAGATGTTGAGACGCATGACGGTGGATTCGCCAGTAAACACATTCATCAAACCTACACGAAAAAATAAGCTTTATTCAACTCATTCATTCCCGTCAAATCAATGCCACATATTTTTAAAACCGTTTCTTCACTAGGATTTCAACACGATGCAGACACTCTTACTGCGCACATGATGCATCCTCTCAACACACTTCCTAAAATAATTTACTCTAATATCAAACAAAACAGTATATGCAAAGAAAAAAAAAGACAAAAAAGGTCTGGATTTTGAGTATTGGAGCATTTTTCCATTTTGTTTCCAAAAGCATTGCACGAAAAATCATTCATGGGCCTCATTCATGAAACACAAGCAGATTTTCTGAGAGTAAACCCATTCTGGGAACGAAATGGAGTTTTTTCTTTTTTATATATAAATTATTGCAATTCAGTGAATCATTTGCGATGAATGTGTGGCACATTAGTAAATACGTGTGGTAAATTAGTTTACAAGAATGTTTTTATATAAACCGTCAACAATCAATTCAAACAGTTTGTCAAATTCATTCTGCGTGTGTTTCATCATCACGCAACATCCATTAATACACACCTGCATGCTTAAGGGTAAACAAGCTAGATTTAAGAAAATATGGAGTCCATTTTTATTATTTATTGAATGTAGGGATATTAACAATATAATAGAGGATACAAATTCTTGATTGGGTATTTTAATGTGCATTATATTAACCCCTTACAACTGTGGCTGTTATGACGAGAAGAGTGAGGTGAGGTGAGACTGACGAGAAGAGTGAGGTGAGGTGAGACGAGACGAGAGACAAGAAGAGTGAAGTGAGACAGACGAGAAGAGTGAGGTGAGGTGAGACAGACGAGAAGAGTGAGGTGAGGTGAGACAGACGAGGAGAGGGAGGTGAGGTGAGACAGACGAGGAGAGTGAGGTGAGGTGAGACAGACGAGGAGAGTGAGGTGAGGTGAGACAGACGAGGAGAGTGAGGTGAGGTGAGACAGACGAGGAGAGTGAGGTGAGGTGAGACAGACGAGGAGAGTGAGGTGAGGTGAGACAGACGAGGAGAGTGAGGTGAGGTGAGACAGACGAGGAGAGTGAGGTGAGGTGAGACAGACGAGGAGAG